ATCATTTTCAATAAATTAGTCCTCTATTTTGTCTTATTCTCAAAGACATTGTTTTAAAAAAAACTTTTTCACTTAATGAGTCCTTTTTACAGGACTTCATACGTTTTTTTCAGTAAAATTTAAGTCCCTCTCCTGAACTAAATAAAGTTTGGTTAGAAGCATAGTAAGTTAATTTTTATTTAATGTCTTACATAAGTCAAAGCCAACTGTTTCAATTTAAGTTATGAAACTGTATCAGTTTTATCATCATTAAATATAATTTCAAGCGTTTAAGAAATAGTTAAGCAAATACAATCAGAACACCTAAAGAAATCATTTGTGCGACTTGGTTAGCCTTAAAAATAATTAGCTATAATCCAGATTTCATTAGGAAGTAGCAAAAACTGTCGAAGAATCTTTGACGGTTATTATGTAATGAATGTTCTGGATATTCAACAGGTTTGTTGAATTGATAATCTATCATCGTTTATTACTATGTAATACGTTCATTAATGAGTTATTGAATACAGATAATGAACTTAAGTTTGTAATCACCAATCAGCACTACTATATTAAATAGTGAATAATTGTTAAAACTTCCAATTGAATAATACAAGAAATGTAAAATACTTATCAAATATTATCATCAGAAGGGGTTTTGTGGAGATTTAGTATTTTCATAGTTGAAAGCATGAGTCAATTTAAGCTAGACCACCAGGGAAAACCTGGAAGCACATGACGGCCGTTTCGTCCTATTGTGGAACTCCTCAGCAGTGCGCATCCACGACTTTGCCTCGAGAGATCCAAACCCAGTACCTACCAGTCTCAAACAGATAATAAAACAGTTACAGAAATGACATTTAATAGTTACTGTGAATCAGTTATTCTACAATATCCGAACTGATAGTTTACTTCATGAAAATAGTCGTTAACGACGATTTGCTAATTACTTACTCAATTTATTTCTATCGGTAAATTTAATCATATCGAAAACTTAGAATGTGGATTCTACAGTGAATTATCACTGAAAAATGTTTGTTAATCTTGGAGTTTTCCATATTTCATATAAATTCGATGTTTTTTTAGATGAAATAAAAGAAGGACTAATTCAAATGTCTGTGAATTTCAATCTATATATATCCCATGACTTTTCATCAATGTGTTATCTGTGCCAAATTAATTCACCGTCTGTTTATTACCATACATATAAATTATGTTTGATAAGTGTATGAATGACATTTTCGATTTATGATTTATAACATGCAATCTAAATGTAATTCATGTTGAGGAAATCATTATTTGAAATAAACACATCATAGACGTTCATATGTTCATGTTTTTATGAATACTTTCTATTGTTCTCATGATATTCCTCTAATACGATATAATGGAACATTTTTATTTATAATATGTTTACACAAAATATTCTGTTTATTTACCTTAAGTGTTCCAGGATATTTTTCCCACGAAAGGTTTTATTGAAATGACAAAGACGAAAGCATCTATATTTAATAATGATCATAATGATTTTGATGCATTCATCAACTAAGTATCACCTCAGCACTGAATTGTATGGTGATCATTTTACTTCCAATAACTCAATAATCAATAAATACTAGGGAACTAGTAATTGTATTAAGTACATTGTAAAGATGAAGTCCATATAATGTAACTAGTATCGGATTAGTTTTAAGATTTGTCGATTTTATACCTTGAATTGTTTCAATGACGGAGTTTCATGATCTTCTTTTGAACAATTCCATCATTTATTTTAATACCCTCATTGAAACACATTAGTTTTAAAACATTGATTTTAAAATGTCTTAGAGATTATTACATATTTTTCATTGCAGCAATTCAGATTCCACCCTACTTTTCAATATGAAGTCATAGCGACCAAGTTTTCACAACAATGATCTTGCTCGACAAAAGATTTTTTTCAAGTACGTTTCATATCTGTTATCAAACGATGCAGAGTGTTCCAGATCCCCATATAGGGCTAGTGAAATTTCACTGAGCCCTAGCCAAATCATCCGGCAGTTAGATCACTGAATATTGGACAGTTCATCGATCCCCATCAAGGTCAAGCACAACCAACGCGCATCAGTTAATCGTACTCCATGGATCGGCCTATGCGATGGTGGTCAAACTTTTGCTTGTACTTACTCTAACTAATATATTTATGCAATAACGTCTTTTGTGATGTACGGTCTTCAAAGCAGCAATAGTACCTTGATATGACGAAAGGGTAAACCATATTGGGTGCTGACCCGAAAATGTGACTTCGAAGTTAGTTGTTGGTCACATCATTTTCGTCCAACTCAAGTAGGCACGCAATCACTAAACATAATCTAAGTTAGGGATTTACAGTCGTTTTAATATACAGATTCGTGCTTAAACTCCCAATACCCTCTGAAAATTTCTTGTTTCCTGATGTAATGGGTTACTAGATTTTTGAGTGTCCCTGAAAATAGAAGTTTTTATCTCTTAAAAAACTATTCAGTCGAATTCAACATTATAACTGATTGTTTGGTTTCAATATCTATTTCACATTGCATAAATTTGAAGAAAGTATTGTCACAATATTTACTCGAGAATCAATGATGATTGAATTGTGGAGATGTAATGGTTACATGATATTAATTTTACTTGTTTCTCGTGGATGTGTATTGATTTTTGTGATGTGTTTGTGTGAATGTAGTTAGAAACAACTGTTGATTACTGACAATTAACACAATTTTTCATATGATATTCTGTATCATGAAAGTTTTCAAAACTTTTCGCCCGTATTTTTAACTACTTTGGAGTAGTATAATTTACTGCTTATATTTTTTGGTCAATCATTTTATTTGAATATAGGATTCTCAATCTGTCTTTCTTGATTTACTGAAAAGTAAATTTGATAAGTATGGTATAACGAAATTGTTTCCACTGTGTTTCTTAATGTGTTTCGTTTTTAAGCAGCTGAAGCTTTTTTTAAAATGTACATTAAAAACCGCCAACTAATACATAAAGTTTTATCATAGTTGTGCACACTTCATCAATTTGACATGTTGGCAATTCTTCAGTCGACAGAACTTTTTACAGTTATGTCTTGTACAGACTTAAAAATTATCAGCGTGGTCAGTCCACTAAGGGTTTAATTAGGTAGTCCTAGTGACTCCTGATAGCCATTTGCTTGTGGAATGGAGTGAAGCTTAAATTCACTTGTTATTGCTTACTTGAGGCAATATGCACTTATGCCGATTAGAGAATGATCAAATGCAGCCCTAAACATCAATAAGAAGATTCAAGTAAACAATACCAAGTAAATATAAAACATTTTAAATTGGGTTTACATTTACTGAGTCCAGATAGCCACGAGTTTGTTCAGTGGAGTGGATTTTAATTCATAAATATTGTTTGCATAGAGCCTCTCATTAACGTTTAAGACTGCAGTTGATTAGTCACTTTTGGTAGATGTGTATCCTGTGAGGAGTGCCTTGATATTGCCATCAAGTCACATGCATTATAAGCATGTCCTAAATCCCACTGACAGTCACCACCTATCCCTGCTTATAATGATTGTTACTAACATTATTGGGGTAATCCGAATAGGATGCACGTAAATCAAAAGAGACTTATCAACTACAGTCCTAAACATCAGTAGGACAATTCAAACAACCAGTACAAAGGAATTAAGAATAATTCTTTCCTAAAACACTTTTCTTCTACTACACTTGACATCAAATTATCCGAAACACTAACTTTTCATATATTTACACAATATATTCAGCTGAATAACTCCAATAAATTATCAATAAGGAAACCAATTATCAGATATTTGATCTTATTGCTCACACAATAGATACTAATTAAGGTCTATGAATACAAGTTCGAAATAAATTGTAATTTTCCAATAAGAAAACAAAATTGAACTCCATCTTGTTTGGCTTTTGGTTTCTATTACTGTGTCCTTAAACTTTATATATATACTAACAAAAGCTAATTTCATTTAGTATTCTTTTTATAATTACAGAATCTTGTTTGAACCACAAAAAGATTGGTTTATGTATATCATATATTGATTGATATCATATAGTTTTATATATTGTTGAAATATTTTATGAAAGTCGTCAACGACAAAGACTGAATGATTGTACTTTGATTCCTGATATGTTTTCAAAATGGAAAACTGTTTGAAGTTGACATTTTAAAAATATTTATGAAAAAGATGAATTGCATTGTATTTTACCTAATTATCTGGTTAATAGTTTTTTTTAGTATAAAGCATAGATTAAGTTAAATAGATACTCTTGCAAATACACTTTTAATTTGTATGTCCAACTATTAAGGAGTGGTTTCTTTGAATAGAGAATGGACGAGTATTGACAAAGACATTGGAAACTATTTATTGGTATCTTTCTTATATATGATATAGCAATGACTTTGAACTACTTATTGCTTCATGAATCTCTAGCATTTTTGACAATGTTGTTTTTATAATAGAATAATACAGCCTAAATCACTTTTTCATTCAGGGTATAGCATTTGTTTGAACGACAGTTAGGCTTTCGAAATCACATTTATGTTATTTCGTGTTAATGATAACTTCGTAAATAACCATCACAATGTCAGGTATTCACAATTACGATACGAGTCAGGATAGACAATGATGCGACTTCCACGTAAGATCTCATAGATAAGGCAGTCACATTATGAGATATCTACAATTTTAGGATTATTATTATAATAGTACTAATAACAAAGTAGACCACAATTCTACAGATTAACAGTAAAACCCATTGGAAACCAGCAAACATTAAGCAGCTGTTTCATACAAATGTGAGAGTTCTCACTACAACAGGAATCATACATAAGACTACAAGTGACGCAGTGATTAAAATTATGACCAACAATCTAGATTACTAGCTGCAAAAACAAATTTGTAACTGACTAACTAAACGAGTAGAATGAATGCAGAAGTCATATAAAGATCTGATTGCTTTAAACATTATTTGATATCTTCTGTTTACATATCTCATGCTAAAAAAAAACAATCTCATTTTATTTTTGGAATAATTTACAGTGAAAGTTATTTATTAACATTTAATGATACTTAGAATAGAGAAGCGTATTACACCATTCTACTTATAAGTTGACATCTAAAAAACTATAAAAAGAAGTTGAATACACCTTAGTGATAAAAATTGAGAATCGATCAAGCATAGCATCACAACATATATTCTCTATTATTCATACAATATAACGATTGACTACATGTGGATACATACACAGCTAAATAACGTATACATACAAATGCACCCTTGTTGTGATTTAGTATTTCAGTATAAGTTACGTTTGCATAATTATTACCCTAGATGTTTCGATCTGCCTAATTTAAGAATCTAAATACAATATAAACAACATTCACTTTGTAGTAGAACTCAATGGATCACTTCTCATTCAAAACAGTTAAATTCCATGTTATGGCGTTAATGACTATCTGAGATTGATTTTTTTATGTAGGGGGTTATGGAGATCATTGAATTTTGTGGTCTTAGATCATGAACAATCATTGTAGACTATAAAGCATTGGACAATTATTTTATTCTAGTATAGGATTTATCGGAAGTAAGCAACCATAACCTCAGGATAGGTAGAACAGAGACGTGGCATACACTTAAGCTTCAGACCAATAAGTGAACGTGCAAGTTTACATTTCGAACTCCAGTTAATTCGTCAAGTTGAGAGATGATTATGCACTACCATTAGTGATATTTGTCTCTCACCCGACATTAACAAATTTTCTTACGCAGATAGAGAAAATATATTCGCTCGATGCGCAAGAAAATAAGATATTAAAGAAGTTGGAAATGATTAAGTTAGGTAGTTGAAGCGAAATTTTTCAATTTAAATATAGTTCTTGCCTTACATAACAATAACTAAAGAATCAGTGAAAAAATCCACAACGACAAGCACTAGTTATATAAGTAGTTTTGAGGTCAAAAATAAAACGATTAAGCGTAAGTAACAAATCATTATTCGTAGAAGAGTATATCATCCAAAATGCAAACCACCGATACCTATTGTAGGGGAGTAAACGAATAATTATGGCCAGTAGGGTTCAATTATAGATGTCTTCGAGGCGAAGTCGAAAGCATAAATTTCTAAGTTTGCGGCGAGTTGCTGATGAAGATATGTCAGACAATGATCACGAAATTACGTCTATTCAGTGAACCAATATACCTACATGTCACGCAAGTTGGATTAACATTACGTAGGAAAACAGAGAATCAATCTATAACATTAGCCAGTCATTCTGGATCATATAATGGCGTGCAAACTTCAGAACATTGACCCACAAGATATTTTATGGTAGAAATGTTTCGATTCAAAGTCAGACACATTACAAATCAATACCAGCTCTTTTACTGTTAATAATCATAATATACAAGACGCTGACATATTGAAGCTCCATTGATGAATATATTATGGACGTAATTACTTGGTTTTTCAATGAATTTCCAATCGTATCATATACAACCAACGTTCGTGATGTTCAGATTAGACAACAAAGCCAAAATGAGATAACCAGAGCTTTGCACAAACGAAAACTTGTTTCTCATGTAAAGAAATTAACATGAATTCCCAGTATTAATAAATTTATAGTTCATCCAACATCATTCAGATCGTGAAATTCTTGACTTCATGAATCTGTTATAGCCAGCGTAAAACTTGTCATAAATGTGCATTAGCCGAAGTTACCACATCACATTAGCACGACGAGATGAAATGGATAATGTGAAATAATATGATCACAAACAACAAAAGAGAATATCATGTATTCAGTTTAATAAACACACACTGAGAGGAAATATTTATCTATGAGATGAATTGTTCAGTACCCATTTAAGGCTAGGTATGAAGGTGAACAATATATTACTGGAGAAAAACATCAAAAATTTCAGTGTTTATAATACTGAATATAATTATGACTAAACGTCATATTATTCCCACTAATCATTCACTAATGACATCCACCTTCTCTGAGAATGTGAAAAAACAGCTATAATAACAAAACTGGTCAGATATTTTACAGTTTCTACAAGGTTCTAGTTTAAAAAAATCTTGGTTAAGATGCTCAATTTATAAACAATATTTACAATGAAACAATCCCGACAAAAACACAATTATCTGCCTAATATAACACTGAAAAAATGCTACAATACAGATAGAACGGAGAAAAATCCATTCCCAAGTAAATTTGCATTGTATAAAAACAAATTCACCTATAATGAGTATAGATAATAATGCATAATACTTTGTACATAATTTATAATATGATACAATTGGTTGTTCAATAACTATTCAGAACGTTTAAGTTTCGGACATGAACCATATGGTCGAATAGATAAACTATATACATGTCGTGCGTTTGTCGAAAATATTTTCTCTTTATCTTCAACCGATCCATAACCAGCATCACCCATAGCATGTTCCACTAATCTAGCCGTCTCCCATAAATTAAGAACCTTCAACGGAACTGATCGTCTTGCACGTTTAGCTGCTATTTCACCAGGTATATCACATGTTTGTAAATCACTAGCTGTGGCTTGTTCAGGCCAACCTGTTTGATTTGGTTGGAACAATCGACATGTTGGCCAACCGGAGCCAAACAAACAACGACCTGGTCCAAAACAACTGATTGCATGAGATAAAGCTGAACTGGCACACCAATGATCGATACTGTAAACATCGGATGTATCATTAGATAATTCTGAAGACTTTTGTATACAACCAGTAGCACCAGTCACTTTGCAATAAACATTTGGATATCGACTGAGTAGTTCCAAATCTGAGCGCCAGTTCTTCCAAGCTAAATTATCTTGTATGAGTAAGAAGACAACCGAATGGATACAAATAAAGTATTGGGGATTAGTGAAATGTACAGATATGTGACAGTTATTATATTGAGATAAAATGCAAATAGAAGGAAAAAGGTCGATCAACGTTCTATTAATAAAAAATCAAAGATAACTGTTCAGAACACTGATATTTGATAAATCTGTCTAATTTTTCTAAATATACATACATATATGCATCAATAAGATTACACAAAATTTAAATAGTTATGATGAAGAAACATTATTAGGTTGTCACTCAAATAGTCTAAAAACTCCCATTCTACTTTTGAACTTGATGCCGCACATACACCTGAAAGATTGTGAGAAGTCACATAAACCGACACAACTAGACTGAAGTTCGAATGTAAAACAACTTTTAGCTATTTAACCAATAAGCCAAACTTCACAAACGAATGCAAATATTAAAAAAACACGTTATCCGAATCACAGACTTATTTAAACGAATTAAGAAGACATAGAACGCACGTAACTATCATAAAGTGAATTAGTTTATATGTAGACACTGGGTATTTACTAAACAGTTATTTTACGGTATTACAGTGCTAACTGTGCACTTCGTTTAGACTAACTGAATGCGAGATCTGTTACTGTTTGTAAATTGCAAGTCAATTGAATAAAAATATATTAATCGATTTTTAAAAAATGTCATAAAAATGTAAGTGATGAGATGTATATAATTTTGGCACTCTATCATCTTTCATTCACATAATTACAAGTCATATGTCTGAACGGTATAAATTACTTGCGACTACTCATCTAACCTTCTGTTGTATTTATTGAAGGTTTGAGAAAGTGCCAACTTGTATGGTTAACCAATTATCACGTAAACGAATACAATAACGAAGTTGATAGATTATTTCTTAATGGGGTGGGCAAAAGGATAACAAGATTGATAATTAATTAATAGTAACATATGCTATATGTAACTAAAATTAGATTCGACAGACTGATTTTATTAGTAAATACATTGTTAGTGAACACTTTTAATTCAACTTATTTTCATAGTTGAAAACATGAGTCAATTTAAGCTAGACCATCAAAGAAAACCTGGAAGCACTGGACGGCTGGTTCGTCCTATTATGGGACTCCTCAGCAGTGCGCATTCACAAACTCGCCTAGCGAAATTCGAATCAAGGACCTACCAGTCTCGCGCTAGAGCACTTAACCGAGAGACCACTGAGCCGGGCGGCATCCGATGGTGTTCATGTCTAACTTCAACCAATTCACGAAGTTGAGCAACCGTTCACCAATTGTCTTCAGTAAGTTCCTATCTCACAACAGACGTGGTTGAACTCCACTGGTCACTGTTTCCCACTAGAACTCCAAGAAGTACTTCTTGAAGTCAGCCACTAGTGAGCATATCCAACATTTTAAATATAAGAAGACATGTTATGATAACACCCATAATAATATCATAATAACTAATACGTAGTCAGAATAGTACAAATCAATGATAAACAAAACCGAAAATCTAAATTAACATTAAAACAAATTTATTTGTTTGTACAAAGAAAGTATAACTTTCAATTATATTCACAAAATACCTGTATTGAAAAACTCAGCATGTAATATTTTCTTAAAATGTTTTAATATTTAACACAATGTAAATTTTACAATCCATTATTCTACACAACTCACCTGATCTGCTTGCAGTAAACTCTACAGGTAAACCACAATGATTAAGTACTAATTTTAATTTAGGATGACGATAAGCTAAATGACATGCATGTCTTAATTGATGTGGTCCAATAGCTAAATCGAATACAAGTTGTTGATGTTCAATTACTGAGAAACTACTATCGATCTAAAACCAAAAACACAAATAGAAACTTTAGTCGTTTTCTTCTTATTTAAAAATAAAACGATTTCATAAACCATGTGTGCGAGGACTATAGAACTACAACGTGATTGGTTTAAGGTAGCTTATGGTTGGCAAGTGTATCTGTGTGTGCATTGAGAGTTGTAATTTTGTCAAATTTAACTGGATATATGAGTGAGTGTTATAGATTACATTGTTTCTTAAAAATTTTACTCACTATGATGACGATTTTTATTGATGATTAATTTAATCTAACTGTTTTCTAAACAGACAACATGAAACTAATTTAGTTAGAAAGTACAAATACATATCTCTAGGTTTAAGCTATATTTATTTCATATAAGAGAGCTTATGATGTTTACTGCCCAGGTTGCCAGACCCGATGTAGGTGGGGTTAGACTTGAACCTGTAGACTGACATTTGGAACTCGATTGCTACAATGATTAGAAAATTGGTAGACAAAATTACTTAAAAATTGTTTCAGAACTGGTATTAACATTTGATTTTAATTAATTTGAATTAGCAACTATGAGAATAACAAAGAACACTCTGACTAGAATACATTCCGATAGAAAGAAAAAAGACTTAATGATTGGAGTGCGAGTGACATGATAAATTTTTTTTTCAATCCTCTATGACATATAATCATATTTTAAAGAGTAACTACACAACTCGGTAAGTTAGTTGTGTCTATGGGTGTTTGTGTCCACACAGTAAGTTATCGATTAATTAATGTTAACTATTACTCTGTTTAGTTCCTACAAATTTAACAGTTCATCAGTGTAGATAAATTACGTAGAAACCATCATATCCAAGTGCCATTTTAATTAGTCTTCGATGTATAATCGATTCGTATCTACTGCTTTCATATTATTACTTGTATCGTACGATTCATGATTTCCTGTAGCAATTACTTTTACATGAAAGTAACCAAGCAAATTTAATTCAGTGGTTTACAGTGTAACCAGGTTTAGGTTAATGATACAACTAGCTAACTATCAAGCTTATTTTTATATGGATTGAAATTCATACCATGTAATTTCTGTCTTTGGACAGTGAGAAAATCAATAACTGATCCTATACATCAACGAACCCACATAAGATCAAATTCATGAATTTTTACGAATGATCTGTATTAGTATTACTGTAACAAATCGGGGTTGCTAAAGGGACAACTAATATATGGCCTTTCATACCTTATTGTTATGGTGACTCGTTGGTGTTGTAGACCAGAAATATTATTGTAACCATTCCGACATTGATTTAGTATTGTTTTAGTAATGTAGCAATGCTATGTTATTTATACCTACTTTAACAGATTCTTTTTTTTGCCTTGTAAAATACTACATAGACTGTAGGTCTACTCATATATTTGTCACTTTTCGAGACATCAAAATTCTAGTGCAAGTTCCTTTCTCTCTCTCTATCTGTCTACTTATTAACGTGTGGTTGTCATCATTGAAGTGTTGTTGAGTATAAGCCGTCCAATCTATTCAATCACGTTAGATCCCATTTCGCATTAAAAGAATTTCTAATTTGTCTGTATTATGAATTTAATCAATCAAAAGTTATACAGAACATAACACCCAGTGACCATAGTACCTTTAAATCGAGTAAAAAATCTATAAACCATCGATCTAAATAATAGGTATTTCAATTCTTTGAAGTCATTTTAATCGACAAACTTTACACCGAAGCTAAGATAATTATTTCAACCGAAAGAAGACAAGAAACATGTTTGAATACGAACTAACTGGTCATTTAATTATACGTTTGTCAAAGTAAAGTTATGAGGATCATAAACAATGATTGTGTATATATTCCTATCGGACTAATCCATCACCAGCTTAAATTGTTTGACAATTACTTCGACTGAATATTGATACAATAATGAAAAGAGGATGTTATTCTAATAATTAAAATATAATTTTTTTTAGAAAAAAATTGATGATATCATTGTTTGGAATGGTACTCGATCGCCTGATTAGTAAAACAACTATTGTCAAAACTAATTGGTTTGAAGTAATAACCACTGGACAATGTACTCATTGAGTAAAAATGACTTTTAAAAAGTACTGATTACAGGATATCAATATATACATATATAATAGTTTGTTTACTGTTTTCATAAGCCTTATTTATATAAAAGACAACCAATGAAGCAGTGTAGTGTTCCGCCAGTCATCATTATCTCTACTAAGAATACAAAAGATTAGGATTTTCAAATAACATAAGAAATTTTCGAAAATAAGCTGCAAGTACCCGGCTGTAATTATGCAGAAAACCTCTTACTAATTACTTATGACTACTGAAAATTAGTTAATACCGTAGTTTAATGAATACTATGCTTAAAAAGGTATGCACACAATTTTATCGATTTAAGCATGAAAATTCATTTTAGAATTGACAACAAATTATAATGTTCATGGGAGAAAAAACAACTGAATTATTTATTCATCAATACTTTTACACACAAATTAGATTCTATCGTAAGAAACCAAGGAATAAAAACAGATCGTTATACATATTAATCATGTACAGTGGAGAGATAGAGACCGTGACTCAACATCAACACCCCTGATAGAAATGAAGATATACGTAGTAAATCCTGAACAATTAGAGTCATTCGGTCAACTGATAATCAATATCCAACATACAAAGAAAATAATTATTTCAGAAATTCCAAATCATTCATTAAAAGTTCAGACATTAAACTATTTCGTAGAGCGAGATTCAACTAGTGAAATTTGTGTATAATAACTATATTACTTACGAGTAACTAATTTTGATTTCCATCCCTGTATTTCATTGGATAGCTGTAGACCAATTGTTTTCTTATTGGTCGATACATCATCTGACCACGATGGACCGATCATTTTGATGCTTGTGTGCGTTGAAAATCAACTATTGCTATTGTTGAGTGCATTGCATTGAATGTGAGTTTCATGCAAAATAATCATTATTTTTTAGAATAGTGGGATTTGTAACGATCGCAGAATTTTTATAGTTTAAATCACAAACTGATCTCAGCTAGGTTACCATTCAAAACATGGAAGTACTGAACGGCCTTCTCCTTCTAGTATAGGACCCCTCAGAAGTACGAATTCACGACACTGCACCCAGTAAACGAACCCAGGAACTTCAGTTTCGCGCGTAAACGCTTAACCTCTAGACCTCTAGAGCAGGCATCCAACATTGTTAGCGTTTAACTTCAGTCAATCTATGACATTGCGCAACCCTGATCCATTCCCTGCTATGGATGGAAATTCTACAATCTCCACAAATTCTTCTATTTTGACAATAATTAGTAATAATAATGTGATATGCTTCAAGATGAAGCTCCAGGAGACTTAGTGGGAAGTCATGATCAGTGGAGCATAATAATGTCAGGTGTGAGATGGTGGAGATTTGTATCTCAGGCGGATTATTTTGGTGGATTCAAACAACAAACTATCATTCTTGGATACGTTAACAACCAGAAACGAAACAGGAAAGCTGGAGACTCAAGTATATCGGAAGCCGACTCACACAGATGAGATTCTCAATTACAGTAGCAACAATCCAAGAACTCAAAATCAAACGAGTATAAACTTTATTCAAGAAGGCGAGGATACACTGCAACACATTTGCAGCGCGGAAAAATGAAGACAAATATCTAAAGAATATCTCTCAAAAGAACGACTACCTAATCAGCTTCGTCGAAAAATATCAACCTAACGCATCAGCAGGAACAAGATCAAGTACAGAAACCAACAAATGGATCATCCTACCATATATAAAAGGCATATCAGAAACTACAACAAGATTTTTGAAGCCTTTAGGAATAGGTATAGCACACTAACTAATAGAATCACTTCAATCAATCCTATGCAAACCAAAGGATGGGATGACAAAAGAAGAAAAACTGAACATCATCTACAAAATAAACTGTTTCAACTGCGAAAGACAGTACATCGCATAAAGTGGACGCCATCTTCATCTTCGCCTGCATGAACATAAATTAGCGCTCAAACGCCATGACATATCCTAGCTTATATCAATGCATGTGGACAACTGTGGACACAAATTCGACTGAGAAAATGTTGAGATTTTAAATAGAGGGAATTCTAAAAATACCAGAGAATTTTTAGATGCTTGGTACTCAGGTCAATCAGTGATCAACAAACACATCGAAATTGATTCAATCTACCAACCAATTAGAAAAATCGTGGACAGACATAGGACCAAGAATCAACTTAAAGGGAGATACAAACAAAATAAAGAGGTGGACAATGACAGGTTAAAGGTCAACAATAAACAATCAAGATTGAAGTCTAGAGATATTCGAACACTTCACCCCTACTTGAAGTTTGTGCTGATGATATCGTTCAGAAGAACGATGAGAGCTATGCGACCAAACCATCCAGCTCAGAGCACAAAACTCCACCGAAAAAATGTCGGGTGTGAGACAGTTGTTCACATAAGTTCGTAATTGAAACTATGATAATCACTATTTGTTGTAGAACCAATTAGCATTATAAATTTTGATACATAAATATACCTAGAAGCTAGTTTGTCTTCCGATATTATTGGACATCAGCTGAGTTATTCAAGTAAATCTAACAACTACTTGTAAAGGAAATACAGTATAACATAGCGTTTATTTGCCAACTGAAATTTAAAAATACACTTACCATTGAATCCAACAGATAATCGCCATCCATTTCACTAACATCATAACGCAAACCGACAAGTAACGGATCATGACTCATTTGTTGAACATGATTGGAGAGACTTGGATCGGACAGATCACACCAACCAATATAACCTGCTATACAATAATAATCTTCAGCCAAAGAAGAAATCATCAAACTTTCGGAATACGTTGAAGCGACCTGAGAGAAAAAAAACAAATACATGCAGGAGCGGAATGATACTTATTAAATTCAAAGCTTTTGTGATGTTATTTATTGTGAGACAAAAAATAGGTTTGAAACGATAAAGTGCCCAAAAACTAACAGTATTAACTTAAAAGATGAAAAGTCGGTTAATCGTAATCAGCGCCAAGTCTAAGATAGGTGTGGACACCTTGGTTAAGATGTTATGTAAGACGTAAAACATGTCCAACTCAATTAGGTTGTTGTGATAAGCAACCACGTCAAGATGGAACCGCTGCTCGGATGTGATTTTAAAACATTAGTATGAAAAACCAGTAGAGGAAAGATAAGCACAGAGCTACTCGAACCATACCATCAGTTTCTCGTGAGAATATTTTATGGGTAAAAAATAATAAACAATGGAATCCAGAAATCAAATAACTATAATGTTACCTGAACGTGAATTGCATATCGTACAGGAGCCAGTTCACCGATTTCATATTTGATTTCATTTTCAGCTCGAGCACGCATATAATCCATTTCTTCTTCGTAATCATCTGCTGTATAGTCTCGTCGTAATACTTTTGCCCAACTAGCTGTTGGAGGTGGAGGAAGCTTTCCACCCAGATAAAGCTGACTAGCACTTATAGATTCTGACAGAGACCATATAGAGAAATGTGAGTCGATATAGGGTGGTGTTAAGGGAGTCCAAGCTGCAGTTCCAGCTTGAACAGCTTCTTTTTCATCAAGCCGTTCAAATTCTACCCATTCATTTTCTTCAGCAGCTACCTCAGCCAATAAATCAGGTTTGTCAGTTCGAGGATAAAGTTGTTCATGTTCAGCTTGTGTTAAGGGTCCAATAAACCCTGTATCAGGTTTATTTATTGCCTAGAAATTAACATGAGTTCACAGATAACACGTACATAACCCATTTATAACCAAAATTATGGAAAAAGAATATAATCGTGTTTATAATTTATTTCAACAACAATTCTCGTTATTGTTACTTAACTATAGTTCAAAGTTACGCTTCGAAAACAAAAGCCTGCTTCTTTTTTTAAAACAATGCTCACTTATCAGAAAAAATATAGATCTTTCCACACCATAACCCTTAACAAGAAGTATTTTTATTTTTCACTCATAAAATAAACAAAACCTTGTTTTTATTTATAAAAATTAAATCAAAAGTGTAAACTAATTTATCTCAATTTGTTAATAATGGTGAACAATAATAAGTCAAAAAAGACAGTGACAATGATTTAGTAATTGTATATATACAAAGTGATGTATTATCATGTATTGTGAATTGTTTATCGTTAACAGAGATTGCTTAATTCAATGCATGATTTATAACAATGTTAAATTGGGATACTCAACTCATTCGAAACAACATTACCATAATATTTTTTCTCAGGAAAATATTAAAATAAATTTCTATTAAAAAATATTTTATCAGAGTCATAGCATTTGTCCAGGGCTAACTAACCTTATTTATTTTAATAGAGATGTAACTCGTACATTCGATTTATAACGTACAACTAACTACATTATCAATTAATTTCAATAAGATGGAACATCATAAGATCTATTATCAATTTATATGCATTTTATTTTATATATAGAACTATTATTGTACAATAGTTTTTCACTAATTCTTAACTTCTTTCCATTAATTTCTACTGATATTTTGTTAATTTCATGTAATTATGTTAGATTTTAAACTAGAATAGGATAAAACTGGATATTTATTTTAACCTAGTTTGAAACTTTCCAGTGTATAAACGGATCGATAGCATTCGATCAGCACTAAGAAAGACTCGACACGCACGACATCGACCACCGCCCAGTGATCAATCAATTGTGATTACATCTCAGTCCTACAGGAAGTCGGTCAAGGCCCAAATAGCTCAATGATAACGTCTCTAACTGTGAAGCTGGGTGACGCGGGATCGAATCCATCAAGGAGCACCAGTTCCCTCAAGATTACAGGTACACTTTGCTGACGAGTGCCAAGTAGCACGAAACCCGTGTCCAGAGTTTCCTGTTGACCACCTCCAACCACCATCTTATCCCAACATAGTGCATACAGTGTCGATCCACCTAGACTGGTGGCCACATTGCAACTTGATCGATAGTATTCGATCAGCACTAAGAAGGACTCGATACGCATGACATTGATCACCACCTAGTGATCAATCAATTGGGATTCATAGCTCTTCCAGAGGATAAAACTTTCAATAGCATAACCAGTGATCAAATATAACTGAAATGATTGTGGATCATATTACAAAACAATGTAAAATAAAAGTATATACATATATACGTAAGCAACACTTGAAATAGTTAGGACATAATTAAACAAAAAGAACACAAAATATACGTCAACTATATTTATTTACAATATACGTGGACATGTCTGTTGTTTTTACGTTTCGATATATATATATATATATATATATATATATATATATATATATATATATATATATATAATCAATTAACTGTACAATTCACAATAATGTTTTTTTTTAAATGGCAAAGTTTAGAAAAGTAGTTTTCCATTTAGAAAATAAAACTCAAGAGAGAGAGAGTGTGTGTGTGTGTAATATTATTCAATTCTTACTTTAACTCGCTCTCTCTCTCTACTATTCGTCTATTTATCTGCACTATTCTTAACTATTATTATTAACAGTAACATGAACGTGTGGTGGTAGTAGTAGTAGTATGTGTATAAATTGAAAAGTTACAATAAGAAAAACAAACGATACTCCTTTAAATTTAAAGAAATAGAAAGAAAATTAGCGAAAATCTATCATTGAAATTTTAACATATAAATTAATTGGGCTTAGCACAATATGCATCAGCATAAATATTGTCAGTAAATCAGTCTACATAGTCAAGATTAAACAGGTAGAAGAGAGAGAATAAGAGAAAGTAATATTTTGAAAAATAATCTTGAAATTTAAGAAAAACCAAAATAAATAAATAATAGGATTATAATGTGTCGTATAATAAGTATTCATCTCATCATATAGACAAACAAATAATTATTATTACGCCACGTGATATACATTATGGAAGAGGAGAGGTGATGAATAAAAATGAGAAAGAGAAACTCATTGTATACAGAACAGTTGTAGTGATAATGGTAATAATAACAACAATGATAGTAAATGAGGTATCACGGCACAGGTATAAATAATAAAAAAAGAGATAGAGAGAATAAAAGTGATGGAAGTCAGTGGTGAAAGTATACATATAGAAACAAACCACAAAATAATACTTCATAATTATATACTATGTAAAGGTAGATTAACAAGATTTTCAGGTGTATCACTACGATAACATTTTACTTTCTCATATTTTCCAGTTGAATAATCCATGGTTAGAAATGTGTCCACAGCTAAATCCATCAGTTGACCAGTATTCTGATTAAGAACACGTTCTCTATGTTCACTAAGACGAATACGAGTTATTTGACCAGTTTCTGGACGTGGATTATCTGGAAATGTATTTATTTGTAATAAACAGATAATAACAAAATTTATTACAACGGGAAATAAAAAACAAAAAAGTAGTAACATTCGACGGTTGTTTTCGGAAAGAAACCGATCATGATCTCAAATAATTAAAAATCTCGACAGGAAAGCCATTTTTAGAAGATTAACTGTTACGTTTGTGGAATGGTGGGGGTTTATTGATAAAAGCAATAGCTTTTCAATCACAGCAGTTTTTATAGCTAGGTAATAAAGTTAGCCTTAATACAAACGGTCTGACTTACAGTCAAGTAAATAAACATGTACTGGATGAGTTATATTAAGCAGAGATGAATGTTGGTTAATACCGAAATCCAGGACGTGCGTTTCGTCTTTTCCGGGACTCGTCAGAAGTGAACAAATAAGACCCCACGTGCCTGTTTAAAATGCTTGTAATTTAATGGTAATATCGAGGCAACTCACACAGAATTCACACATGCCAATAAGAGATTGATCAATTGCAGTTTTAGACATCAATTGGAAGTTCCAAACAACAAATATATATATAGAGAGAGTTATATTCAATCAAATTTATTCATATGATTGCAAAGATAGTTTTCATTAATTTACTGACATTATCACTATAATTTCAATTTAATCCCCTTGGTGGGATAACTGATTCATTCTCGAAACAGCTACATAAGTAACCTGTTTCACATAAACACACAAAAGTTCACTATAAATCCCTATTTACGAATCTCATACCATCAGCACAAAAGGTATAGTGTCAGAAAAACAAATGAAATGACAAGAATCCAATTGAATAAATCTCTTTAAAAGATGAACGAGCGTGTGGCTCTAGTATGGGACTCCTTAACAGTGTGCATCCACGAGCCCACACGCAGGAACCGAGCCCGAAAACCCTTGATCTCGCGCTCGTGAAAATACTGCGATTTCCACAAGTCCTCCATACTGATAACAATTATGTACTCACTAGTGACTGGCTTTAAGACGTAGCTCCCACAGTTCTGGTGAGAATCCATGACCAGTAGAGTTCAGTCAGTGACCCGCCGCAGGCGATCAATGCAGGGTTGTGTGATGTCATGGATCAGTTGAAGTTAAACCTGGAAATTACTGGATCCTGGGTCAATTTCCAAGAGGTTAGGTGTTTGAGCACGAGAGCGAAGGTCCTTGGCTCGGTTCTCTTGTGCGGGATCGTGGATACGCACTGTTAAAGAGTCCCATACTAGAGCGAAATACTCGTCCAGTGTTTCCATTTTCTTAATGGTGGTCTAACTAATATCAGTTCGTGAGTTCAACTGTGACAATGTATATGTTTTCGTGAAATATTTTTTGTTCAAGATCAAAAATAAAATAGACTATATCGATTATTCTGTTAAGTATATACCTAGTGGTTAAGATGCTGTTATCATTTATATGCAACACACTAGATAATTTAACACTAACAATTTTATTTAAATTTCTGATAAACAATAATTAGGCTATTTTAAGGGTTTATTAGAGAATAATTTCACTCATGAGTTGTATTCATTCAGTACTACCCACTTTTCAATCATTCTCCAAGTGAGATCAATCTACGGCGAACACAAACTACAAAGTAAAGTTATTTGGTAAATGTATAAACTGAGTATATTTTGTTCATAAATTTCATACTAACCAGATTTCTTTCATATCTGGGGTAGATAATTAAGAAAATTAATGGATAATTTTAATGACAAAATATCACAATCTTTAAAACTATAGAACACTTAGAAAGCAAAAGAATCAAGTTGAACTTTTGACGAGCATATTTATCTCTCCATTTTAAGCTTGAAAGGAGGTAGCTATGCATTATACATTTCAGGTACAGAACAGGATACAACTGGTTGACTGACTAAGTAAAATCGAGAAGAATCACAATAGTACTTCGACTCACGTTTCCATACTTTCTTAGATGTAATAACGTAAAAAAACTAAATATAAGGAATAGAAGGTGAGTAAAAACAGAAGTTTAATGAAAAACTATATTATGATACACAGTCATTTAAGACTACTGACTACAACTTCATTATAGACCTGTTGCTGGAAATAACACTCTCGTCGACTGAATTTTCAACAATTGATCTTCTACCAGGAGGTTCACTTATCGACTTAGAATACGCAGATGCCATAGTCCTGTTTGGTGAAGATGCTGACAAAATGCAGAGTCTTCTCTCAGAACTGAGTAATAATGCCAGGATGTTTGGGATGCGTTTCTCCCCATCCAAATGTAAATTGTTACTCCAGGACTGGCCTGCGTCAACACCTGAACTAAGGATAGGGAGCGAAGTAGTCGAACGCGTCGACAACTTCACTTATCTTGGAAGTCTGATCAGCCCTAATGGATTGGTTTCTGACGAAATCTCAGCACGAATTCAAAAAACTCGTTTGGCTTTTGCCAACTTACGTCACCTATG